ACTTAGAAATTCGACTTCTTTGCTTTTCACTGTACGCCTGATGCTGGCAGAGCAATGGCCCCTGAGACGCCCACCTCCGAAACAGGACCAACTAATGTTAGGTTGAGTATGACAAAGAGGAATAAAGGTTAGAGATGGAATCGAGGGCACCAATTGTATGACCTTAAAATAGGGAGATGAGCCTGGGTTCTCTGGGTGCTGCCCAGGCCTTGATTTCCACTCAGCGAGGCCGGAGTCGCGCTTCTGCCCTCCAGAACTGTAAAGTAACACACCTGTGTTCTTGCAGGCCGCTGTTGGTGGCATTTTTAGTGACAGCAGCCACAGGAAACTAATACAATTGTCTTCTAGTTCTTTTTCTCTGAATATATTTTCACCAAAAATCCAGGACTGTACTGTCCATAACATTTTGAATAACCTCTTACTGAAGCGCAGCATCCAAACAGGAGCTGGCCAGCCCTCGGCGTACGGCTGGCCGGTCTCAGAGCACACACCTGTGTGCCCACGGCTCCGACCGCGGCCTCCCTCACCGAGTCCCCCCACGCTCTCCACCCCGGCCCCCAGGCAGCCCCCTTGGACACCGACGTCACAGCCTAGTTTTCCTGTTCATGCAGCCTGTCTAGGCAAGCAGACAACACGGCCACAATGTTTTTCTCTTTTTATTGAGGTGTAATTTACACACAGTGGAAGGCACACATTTCAGGTCTGAATTCACGCACACAGACACCCACAGCCGTCCTGTGGGTCGAGACAAGGACCTGTTCCGAAAGCTCCCTGCCGCGCCCCCCCACGTCCAGTCCCCGCAGTGAACACCTTCCTGACCTGCCACCACAGAACTACTTTGGCCTGATTTCAGACTGTGTGTAAATGAAAGCACACAGCACGCTGCGACCTGTTGCTCCCCTCATTTGCCCAAACACCATAGCCCCTTCCACTGCGCCAGGATTTAACTGACTTGCCCTTCGGTCTCTGGCCGCAGCCAGTTCCGGGCCAGTTTTGAGAGCTGAACGTCAAGGCTACACAGGCTTCTCCCGGTGCGAGAGGGCCCAGCCGTCTGCTGGCCCCGCACACACTGCCCTCCCAGCGGCCACTTTTGTGAGCCATCGCTGCGGATGCCGGCTCCCTGCGTGGACGCCGAGGACCGCTCCCCCGCCCCCCGCCCAAACCACTGTTTTCTTCCAGTGCCACGACACAGGCCACTTCCTTTCCCTGTGATCTGGCCACCGAAGGGCGTTTCCTCTTGGAACTCGGCCAACGGGTCTGATCACTCCAGCAGGCCAGTCCCTGTTCAGGGCTTCACGTTCTAACACAGGAACTCTTCTGTATTCCTTGGAAGACAAAGAATGTTCCTCAGTGAGAACCAAGTAAACAAGTCCACCTCTATTCTGGGGAACATGACAAAAGCTAAAGGTGAAGCAGTTGGCCGGCGGTCGGTTCCAAGTATTGTGTGGTTTGCGCAGGAAGTTTGGAACTGAGAAGCACAGGGTATTCCAAGAAAAATATTTGCAAGTCGACAAATGATGAATTACGACACCATTTTTCAGAAATGTGCTATTAGGATATTAGCATTTTCTGCTTTTAGTTAAACGTAGCAGATGACAATCTGCGGACCTAGAGTGAAACCGGGGACTCTGGTGGCTGGGAATGAGCCGTGTTAGAAAAAGAAACAGGTCAAACTAGAGTCGCATTTGCTGAGCCATGCCAGCAAGCCAAAGCTCCGTAACCAAGCAAACTGCAGCCGCAGCCTCCCCGAGGAGCAGGGTTTCCAACCCCTCAGCCTGGGCTGCCTGATCAATATCACAACCGGATCCGCAGCAGGAGGCCCGCCGCTCCCTCGTCCCTCGGCCCAGAGTCCTTTCCTTTCTTTTGCTAATAACTCCCTACACCACCCTTCTGCCTTTACCTCGCTGGGAATCAGCCAAGGCCCTCAGGACAGGGTCCTCGGGAGGGTCCCTCCGGTCTGGTCTGGTCTGAAGGCTGGGGGGCCCTCTCCTGCTCTGACTTTGTTGGCCTGCCTCCCCTATGTCTTCATCAGCTGGGCATAACAGAGGATGGAAATACATACTTTGTATTTAAAATAGTTGAATATTTTTCTGTTTTAGCTTTCCACCAGCTGAAGGAGACATCGTTTGATGCGGTTGGGAGCAGGATGGCCCACGCGCAAGCCCCAGCCGCCGCCCGCTGGGGCTCCGGCCGCGCCGCCTGGCCCGGCCCCCGCCCGGGAAGGGGACAGCACCCGAGGAGCCTGCCTGGAGCGAGCGGGTGAACGTGGAGCGCCGCGCCGGGCACGGGTGAAGTGGTCCTTACGGACGCTGATTTTTGGGGGGAACTCTGATCACTGTGGGCCTCCAGTGGGGGCAGCTGAATAAATTAAGACGCGTCATCCCGCCCCAGAACCTTACGTCGCCACCTCAACTTACGCGCGGCCGACATCTAAGTGATGGATTCCCTCACGGCCGATGACACGCCTGGGGGATAAATGGCCTCTTGCAGGTGACGCACAAACCACTGCTCTGGGGCAGAGAGGAACTGCTGGCTGGACACAGAACTCACAAGGACTCCGCTGCCCTGGAGGTGAGGGCGGAGAGGGAAGCGCTCGGCCTGGAGCCTACCTCTCTCCCGGCTCCAGGGATCTGAGTCCTTCCATCTCCCCTCCCGTGGGAGGAGGGCAGGGGAGGGCGAGTTCCTTCATTCCTAGCAGTTCGATTTTAAAAGTCAGACAAAGGGGTCCAGAATGACCTCTCTCTGCTTTTGTTTTCCTCTGAACTGCCCTCACCTGCCCACCGCCTGCTGTGGGCAGAAAGGCACGAACCAGACAGTGACCTCCCTCCCTCCTCAGTGTGGTCCCCAGAGCAGCAGCCGGAGCTGGTGGGAAATGCAGTCCCAGGCCCCGGCCTGGATCTGCTGCCCCAGAACCTGCATTCGACAAGCCCAGGGGCTTTGTGTGCACATTCTTTGGGGAGCGCTGAGCTAGGCAACACTTCTCATTTGTTCTTGAACCAAAGCACAACAGGATGGGCCTTCTTGACCAAGTCAGATTTTTTTTTTTTTAAGATTTATTTAATTTTAGAAAGAGCGGAAGGGAGAAAGAAACATTGATGTGAGATAGGAACACCGATCAGTTACCTCTTACACGTCCCTTACTGGGGACCTGACCAGCAACCCAGGCACGTGCCCTTGTTACCGAACAAAAGGACCCATGGTGGGGGTGGGGGGTTCCCAAATGCTATTACCGAAACAACGACACCCTCCTTCCCCAGGACCCCTCAGTTGTGGGTCCTTTGGCCGCCGCCCTTGGAATTATGGCTCTGAATGGCAGAGTTTGGTGAAAAGGAAAGGAACTATTTATTCAAAAGTTTTACAGGTTTGATTAGTGGCTAAATGTCACCCTTAAACCTCAAAATCCCTTCAGAACAATCACCAGCACATACCCCGTCCTGCCTTCCCCCTTTTGCCCAGTTAGGCCAGTCAGGCCAGTCGGGTACCATCCTTCAGAAGAAAAAGAACAGAGTCCGGGACTCGGCTGGGCAGGCCTCTCGCGGGTCTCAGCACCATCCGCTGCGCCGCCGCGATCTCCAGCTCTGAATCCATAACCATGTGGCACCTTCTCCTGGCCCACGAGCAAGAGTCCCTTCTCCCCTCTTTCTTCTCGCGTGGTCTTCACACTGTTCCCCAGAGTCTGTGTCCCTTTGTCTCTCCTGCAGGCCCCTGTCTCTCCTCTTTCTCTCCCAGTAACATTCTCTATTAAGTCTTTGAAACCTTCCTGATTAGCTTTGGTGATATGCAAAATAACCCTCTTTGCATAGGAGGAATGAAGCTATCCTGTTATTGACATACCAAATGACTCTCAATGGCCCTGCTCAAGGCTCCCATCCCCAAGGCAGCCTGCCCTGGGGTGGAGAGATTTTTCTTGGACACCCCAATCTCTGGACCCCGTTGCAAATACCCTTGCGGGGGAGGTCTGGCTGTGCCCCGTTACACCCTGACCAGGAATTGAACTGGTAACCTTTATGGTTCACAGGCCAGAGCTCAATCCACTGAGTCACACTAGCCAGGGCCCAAGTCAGATATTTCACCAAGACAGATAAAGACATAGAGGTCAAAAAGAGACCACCACGTAGAAATCTGGCCTAAACCAGGCTTGAGGCTGAGCCCTTTCTGGCCGATGTAACTCCTAACTGCCTCCTGTGGTGAGACCGGCATCCCTGACCGTTGGTGCGTTTTCTAGGAAACCAGGTACCCACTCACCCAGCTGAGTGCCAGGACCTTTAGCCAGTGGTTCCTTCTAGTTAGCCTGACAACCGTCCTCTGTGTGCCTCTGTATTTTCCTGTAAAACATCCCGATCCAGAAGTGACCTGAGTCGGCCTGCGGGGGCCTCCCCCCGGCATACCAGATCCGAACAGAGCTTTAACGCATGCTCATAACTAAGCTGTCTGGTGTCTCCCTGCTCTCTGCTAAGGCAATCAAATGGACAGATGGCTCGCTGGGGCCGGCCTTGGGCAAGGCTGCGCCGAGGCTCCCAGGACACATGGGAAGAATTAGTGAGAGGTTCAAAGAAACTCGGCTAAGAAACAGCAGGACAGGAAGGGAGGATGAGGAGGAAATGTAAAGGGCAGCTGCGACACCGCGGGGCCGCTAACGCCGGCGCACGCACAGAGGGCGAAGGGACAGGAACGCGTCTGGGGGCTGCACGGGGAGGGGACGCAGGGGGTGCTCCGCCTGAGTCCACTGGGAAGGAAGTCAGCGGGCAAAGCTGGAGCCGAGTCAGAGGGCGCAGCCCGCAGCCTGTGTTCAGGAACAGGGGAAAAGTGAACTTGGGGGGACTGAGCTGGGCAACCGGAACGCGACCCCCTGCAGGAGGGACGTGAAAAAAGCGGCGGGGGGGGGGCGGGCGCCCGCGGGGCAGGGGGCGGCGCGCGGTCAGCCTCTTCGCCCTGCGCACCTTTCAGGCTGGTGCGGGATTACTGCAGGAACAAACTACACACAAATACCAGGTGGTGCTGACGCGCAGTTAAGATGGCCAGAGGACACGAACCCTTTATTTCATTTTTACATCTCATGTCATCTTTTCTCTCCCCCATGACTTTCAAAGGGCGGCAGTGATTTGGAACAAAGGCAGCGCACGAGTGACAGCCACTTACAGGAGCTTCGCCCGTAGCACATACGGGCACGCATGTCAGAAGCGTGACCTGTAGAGCTGCGCTTGCGGGGGCTGCCAGCCTCCAGTGGGAGTCAGTGTCGAACCCCGAGTCTTGGTTTTGCTAACAAGGAATTTGTTGCTCAAAGAAAGTACGAGTCTCATTTTAATTCCATGTGTTGTCTAAATGCTTTGCTGAGGTGGCTGCAGTTCTGAAGGCAAGTTGCGTAACCACCGCAACTGCACAGCTGACGGGCCCAAGAGACACGTGACCTTCCAGCAACTCACGCGACACCACTTTAATTCAATCTGCATAGAAAGAACTAGATTTCTGCTGCAGCTGCGTAATTCATCTGAAAAAGTATTAGAATAATTGTTTTAAATGCATTCATTATGTGCACCCACATAAAACCGAAACAGGCTCCTACCTTGTAAAAACTATTGGAGAAACGTACTTTCTGTGGTCCTCTGGTCTGTGGTTTCAACGACGACTGAGATAAACATCCCCGCTCTGCTGGGGTAGCGAGTGAGCACGCCGTCCCTCCGCGGTGGACACAGGCAGGGACGCAAACGGTGGCGCCGGAGCCGGAGGCGTGCCTGCGTCCAGGGGTGCAGGTCCTGGCCACTTGGTGGCAGCGCGCGGCTGGGCAGTGTCCCTGGCTTCCCCTGCAAGGTGAAGGGCGAGGTCGGTTGCAGGAACTTGACCTGTCACATCCAAATGTTGCTTTTCCCGCGTCACTCACTGCAGCTGGGACTCGCCAGAGCCAAGAGCAGGCCTCCTACAGCTGCCGAGGGAGAGTGCACAGCCCCGCGCACAACCTGCGACCAGAAACACTCCCAGCGCAGCCTACTCTGTGAGGGGCAAGACGGTCCCCGAAAGATGAGAAGAAAACAACCGACTGACACTGCTCACTGTAGAAGTCACGCTTTCCTACAAGGCCCTGCCAGGCCTGGTTCCCCCTCCAACCCCCCTCACGTCGGGGAACCCCCCTTTCAGGCTTCTTTGCACGGGCTGTCCCCTCGACCTCCGATGGTGTTCCAGCCGTCACACGACTTACTCCCTGACCTTAGGATTTAGGGCCTTTCCTGGCACCCTACCTGAAGTTGCAAACTCCGCCGCGCCACCCCCCGCCCCCCGCCGGCCCCGCGGTGCCCATTTCCCCAGGGCCCTCCTCACGTCGCCTCCCCGGCACGGGAAGGGAGGCCCCACATGACCGGCTGTGGGTGCGCAATTCAACACTGTTTACCCCGCCGAGAGCCGTCCACTGGGCCCGCGACCCAGAGGACGCTGGGCACCCCACTTCCAGGCTCGCAGCCCTCTCCTTCCCGTCCAGCAGAGGACACTCGGGGCCTAAACCACACAGGCTTGAACACCCTTCGTTCGGTCGTGATGTGCTCCTCAGTGTCAGTGTGAGTGACGCCCTGGCCACCCTGGTGCCCTTTTAAACCCTCAAGACGCCGGCCGGGACCTCAAACGCCGGTACGGCTGCTCCGGACTCTTGCCGAGGACGATCTTTCACCTGCGTCACACCAGCTGTTGTCACCGGCAGCGAATGTCAATGAACAGTTGCATCAGAACGTGCTCTTATCCCCAAGTGCCACGTGCCCAGCCACGTCCCATGGCCCATACGACCTAATAAACACTCCCCAGGAACCATATGCGCAGAGGACACCCTGGAAGAATCCTAAGAAAGAGCCCAGTCCTGTAGACTAGCTCCCTGCATAACTTTCCAGTGAAGTAAGGTCTTGGCTAAAATACAAAAAAACAAAAAACCCAACTTTGTACCAAGTTACAAAAGTGATCACAGTCTGGTGTAAGATTGCCCCCTCTAGCGGACAAAAAGAGAAGTTCAAGTTCCTGACCTGCTGTAACTGTTCTTTAGTTCAAGTTTTAGGCCTTTTGACTTCAGGCCTTTTGTGTCCCATAGCAATTTTTAACATTATAACAGATTTTAACATTAAAAAACTTTGAACCTCATGATACCCGTTCTTAGGGGCCGCACCTTTCCTTCTCCGTCGCAGCTGTGCAGGGCCCCAGGTCTCGGAAAGACGGCTCCTGTGCGCCTCGGCCCTGCGACACAGTCCAGAGGCACGAAAACCACGGTGCTGAGGCCCACCCACGACGCACCGCGGCCTATTTTAAATACGTGGTCTTAGGGAAAACCTGCGTGCTGCCACCGTACCTACGCCAGCCAGGGAACATTCCGGGAGCCACACTCGGCGGCGTCCGCCACATGAAAGGCTCCGAGTCTCCCCCGTGGCTCCAGCACTCGGCCTTAGCGAGCAGGAGAGCCCGCGGAGACTGCGGTCCTGGTGTGGCGGCGGAGACAAGCGGTGGGGGTCCAACGCCGAGGTCGCATGCTGGCAGACGCAGCAGGCTGGGAGGCTGGGAGGGAGGGAGGGAGGGAGGAAGCTGGCGGCTGGGGCTGGAGCTCCGGGGGGCAGTCGCCCCTCAGCTGCCGAGGATGACCACGATCCCTCTCTTCATCCTCACTGCCCTGTTCTGGCAGGCTCCTCCCCGCTCAGTCCCAGCAGGACCCACTGGGGACACTCAGGCACCCTCCGCAGTCGATCCCTGTCAAGCAATCGAGAAAGCAGAGGCAGGCCAACGCCACCCGGCTCTCTCAGTACGAACCACATCACAACAGAAATACAACGTGGCCGCTCAGAGGGGCCCGGGACCTAAGGCTGCTGATTAACCCATCAAACCAAAGGCTGACCTGCCTCCCTGACTGCGGCTGCAGACACGGGGCCCCCAGCTGCTGGCCAGACTGGCACCGAGGCCAGGCAGACACACCCTGCCCGTAGCTGTCTGCACCCAAGGAAACCACCACACAGGAGGGGGGTTGGTGCCGGGCGTCCACCTGTCCCAGGACACCAGCGTGTACCAGATACCCCACACGTGTCACATCTGACATAGCACCTAACAGGCAACAGTCCCACCTTCTCCCCTGGGAGACAAGCAGGCAGAGGGGAGGCGGCACCTGCACTGAGCTGTACACTCTCGCCAGGGGCCCAAACGGGAAGACTGCAGGTGCAAGAAGCCCAGTGCCCGCAGGCGCACCGCCTCGGGAGCAGGCAGGGCACCCCCCGCAGAGTGCGCCCGGCGCCCCGGGGCCTCACACAGCAGCGCCCTGCAGGCTCACAGCCGGAAACGCTCGGAAAACTCGAGGTAAATGGGAACCACTGTAAATGACGGTCCCTAACGTGTCTGAGGTGCCCTGGGCACTCGACAGGATTTGCTCACGTGGAACCATCCTCAGCATGTTCGTCGTCCCTGTTTCACAGGAGAAACCTAGGTAAACAGGGCTGTGGCCCGGGGCCAGCGGCGGAGCCGGGGCCTGAACCCCTCGCTACCTCTCCGGGCCCTGGGGCGCGTGGGGGCTTGTGCCCATCGGGGCCAAGGCGCCGGCCGCTGGAACTGCCGCGTGACCGAAACCTCCCGTGGGCCGAGCGCCCCTCTGCCCTGAGTTCTTAGACTCCCAGGCCACCGTGAAGCCCACCCAAGGCCACCCTGAGGTCACGATCTAGGCTTTAGCTGCCACCGGGGGCCAGGCCCGCCGGGGGGTTGAGGTGGACAAGATGAGGGTTGGCTAGAGAGAGGCCGTTCGCTCAGTCAAGAGGTGCACTGAGCATATCCCCAAATGGCGGTAAGTCAAGGCGGACAAGAGGCACCTTGGTTTGTCAGGACTAGGTCCCAAGTCCCAGGTTTCCTTTCTATACCCATAAAAAACGCAGGCAGCGGCAATGCCCTAACGCGCACACGGGCCATGTGGAACAGCCAGATGCCTGCACCCCGCGTGTGACCGCCATCACGGGGACAGCTCAGCCGCCAGCTGGTTCTCCCCTGTTGACACCAGTAGAGGGCCAGTCATTCAAAAGGCAGTGGAGCAAGGGGGAATTCTATTCTGTGAGGGTGGCCCTATCCATCCAGTACCCCAGGGCCCACAACCTCCGTGCAACGCCCCCGGGGATGCACGTGTGCACGGGGGCAGGTGGCTCTGCTCCTGCCGCACGTCCCCCGGGCAGGGATGCCGGGGGACTAAGTTAGGGGTGCACGGCGCTGGCAGCCCAAAGGGCGTGTGACTGCTGAGCAGCCACAAGGTAAGCTCCCCACCCCCCACCAAGAGGGAGGGAGCTGCTCGCCCCTGCAGAAGGCTGGTGGCACCCTCGGTGAAGGTGGACCGAGCACAGACTGAAGCAAGAGGTCGGCATAGCGTTAGCCGAGCAGGTGAGGGACAGGGACAATCTGAGAGGGGGAGCTTCAGGTGACAGTTCTGAGGTTAGGGTTAGACACAGCCCATTCCCATCACTACAAAAGGCTAGACAGCGCGTTCTGCAGAGAGCGCTCTTTAGAAAACTGCAGATTTCGGCACACTATTCTCTTGCTTAAAACCCATGATGTCCTTCCATTTTCTTAGGAAAGACCTCTTGTGGTCTGGCCCTTTCCCACCTTCTGAGCTTCGTTCCACACCATTCCCCACCTTCCTGCAGCGGCCTCCTGTCAGGGGCTCCACCGGCCACACCTGCTAGACCACTGGGCCTGCGCCCGGGCTGCGCCCGGCCTCCCCACCGAAACCCCGCCCCATCCCTCAGAGTCCCACTGCCGGCGGCGGGGGGGGGCAGGGGGGACCCAGCCTCAGGAATGCGTTCCAGTCTCATCAGGCTCCCGGTGACATGTGTTCTTACAGAAAACTGCTTTCCCGCAGAGCACTCCCCTGACCCTCTGTGCTGTGATCACCAGACCTCTCTCCCCACCTGGCCGCAGCTCCCTGAGAATAAGGGCCCCACTGCTGTGCTCATCTGGTATCCCCAACGCTGAGCCTGGTGCTCGGCTGAAGTATCAATAGGTCTGTCTTAAATCAACACTGATTTAAAAACTACCGGCTCGCTGGTACTAACTCCAGGAGTTTTCTCCTCACGGCGCTAGGTCTTGTTTGCAGTATCATACATGATCATCAAACTGCTGCTAGAATGTTCACACCTGTTACTGCAAATTCAAAACCCAGGAAACGCTCTCCTGGGAATTTACTCTGGGTCAGGGTAGGGCTGCCGGGTACGGGGCCGCACCCACAGCTGGGCGGGTTCAGCAACCAGGAGCCTTTCCCCAGACCGTGCACCTTGCGACACTTCGCCTCCACGCCTGACCTACCTGGATCCCCTAAACCGAGGTTATTCAAATGCTGTCATCGGGGAGACGCAGGCGGCAATAACTGTGCACGCCCGGCCCCGATCGCCGGGGCCTGGAGACTTCTCATTTTCCGAGCACACCCTGGAGAACGAGAGTAAGAAGGCGGACACGTTTCATTCGGTGTTTCCACACTCCAGACACCGCGCTCGCCACCAGCCGAGCGCCCCGAGGCTTTTCTGGCGGCTGCGGCGCCTCCTGCAACCTCTCACCTCACCTTGGAGCCCGCGTGGGGCCAGGCTCCCTCGGCCTTCTGGGTGCAAGCCGTCCCCGAGGTCCCGGGCCCCGCGGAGGCGCTCCCGCCCCGGCGGAGCTTCGTGAACCCCGGGGCGGGGCCCGAGGCCGCAGGCTCGCGCCGGTGGCAGCTGTAGCCGGAGCCGAGCGGATGTCCCCCTCGGAGACGAGAAAGCACGCAGCTCTGCATACCGCCCACCCTCGGACAGCACCCAAAGAACACCCGCACTCCGGACCGGAAGCGACGACTTACCATAGAGGCGGCAGCTAGAGGGTCGACCTCGCTGTGAAACTAGGTCCTCCAAGGCGATCTTAAAGGGGCCGCAAGCGGCAAGATGCTGGTTAACGTGGGTGAGCGCCTAGGGCAGCGCAAGAGTCCTAGACTCTAGGGCCTAGAGGGCGAGAAGCGGGGTGCTTGGAGCTGAGCACGCATCGGCCCTTTACTCCTCACGTAACCCTGTGAAGGTAGTAGGTACGAGGATCGCTCCTGTTGTCCAAGTGAAAAAACCGGGGCTCCCAAGCCGGGTTCAAACCCAGTGGTCTTTCACCGCTCACGTGGCTGGAATAAGAACGCTCCGGACAGATGTTACATGAAGGTGCCAGCTGACTTTGCCTGTTGGGACATCTGCTGGAAATCTCATTCTGCCAAAAATGGAGCACGTGATAAATTCCCTGCTGTTCAGTGGTTCAGTGGGCAGAGGAAGCCTCAAGAAGCGTGGCTACTTCGGGTCCCATGGCACACCCGAGGAAGGAATTGCTGGAGCTGAAGAACTGTCAGAATCTTGGATGTTATCTGATCCGCACCCCCCTCGGCTTACACAGTGTGGTCAGCCCTCTACTTTCTGCAGCGACAGCCACCAACGGGCAGGCTTGCATTCCGCCTTCAGGCAGGGAAGTCCCCTCCACTCCCTACTGCTTCACGCCCACTCTTCCCAAGCCACGGGGACGCGGAGCGCCCCGACCCTCACGCTAATGATCACGTCATGCCGGAAACTCCCCTGTCCCCCAGCCACTTCTCGCGGGGTCCATGCCCAGGGGATACTGTGGCGCTTGCCTTGCAGTTAGGGTTGCTGGATAAAAGACAGGACAGTCGGTTAATTTCAAATCTACAATGAATAATTTTTTAAATATTATGTCCCATGTACGATTTGAGACATACTTATACTAAAAACATTATCCATTGTGGATCTGAAATTCCAACTTAATTGGGCAACCTGTTTGGTGAAACCCGTGGCCCTGCTTGGAATACGTCTCTGGAGAAGGGCTTGGCTGGTGTCCTGCGTGTCGGCAACACCCACTCCGGGTCTGATTCCGGCTTTGCCACCTGGCAGCTCTGATCCCTCACCTCTGGGCCTCTGATGTCCCACCTGCAAGATGGCAATGACAGCCACTGTCCCAGCTTCATACGGCTGTAGAAGGGCTGAAGTAAGAACTCAGCCTGTGTGTCCGCCCCACGTAACATGGCTCACATGGGGGCTGGACCAGGCGCCCTCCCGTGGACGCCCATCTCAGGATGTGCCCAGGTGTGTGATGGCTCACCTGGCCCCAGCATTTGTTTACACCCTCTCTCTGGTGAGAACTACATGAGGATTAATGTGTGAAGCGCCTGAAGCCACCCCAGAAGTGCCACCTGTCAAGGAGGCGACTTGGCGAGCTAGTTCCTGCTTTATCCAGCTGAGAACAGTCCACGCCGTGGGCCCCAACAACCCCACTGGCCCCGCCGTTGCCCTACGGCTTCTAGCTGGACTGGCTCTGATCCCGTTCAGAGCAGCCCTGTCCTGTAGGGATAGAAAGCAAGCCGCATGTGTAATTTCAGGTTTTCTAGCAGCCCCATTAAAAGAATTAAAAAGAAACAGGAGACACAAGGTTTAATAATATATTTTATTTAACCCAATATATCAAAAAGACTCTTACTTCAGTATGTAATCGTATAAAATTATTAGTGGGAGATTTTAATTATTACCTTTTTTTTTTGGCTGAGTCTTTGAAATCCAGTGTGTATTTTACATTTAGGGCCACTTCAGTTTGCACCAGCCCTACGCAAGTGCTCGCTGGTCACGTGGGCCCGTAGCTGCCCCCAAGGAAAGTGCATCGAGGGCCTGGGGGCTGGCCACGTCCAGGACCCTGATTCCTGGGGAGGGAGGGTCGCTCTGCCACCTGGCTGGCCAGGCGCCTGGCTCTGCGCTCAGCCAGAGGGGAGAAGCCTAGAGCCTGAGAAGCCAAGTGCATGGAGCTGAGCACACGCTGTCCCCGCGTGCTACCGTAGCTAATGATACCCACGCTGAATTCTTTAGTTAACGTGTACCGGTGACGGCAACAGACGCAGAAGGGCATCAACAACAAGAAGCATGGGCAGGTGGAGGGAGGGAGGACAGACGGACAGACAAAGCAAGAGTAGTAGCTGTTAATGGTAGAATCTGAGTGGTAGAGATAGGTGTGTTTGCTGTGCAATTTTCTCAACTTCACTGTGTATTTGAGAATGTTCATAACAGATTGTTGGGGGGACAAAGTGGGGGGGGCACAATGGGGAGGACCAGTGGGTCTGGACCCCAAAGCTCGGTCTCAGTCTCGTGAGCCTCGTCACAGTAACAGGAGAGCAGGACAAATTGGGCTGATTTGGGTTGGTTCTGATCTCAAAGGCTTGGCATGCAGGTGAGTCAGGGCTGCAGGACATACTTGAAGTGAGAGTCTTTTTGATATATTGGGTTAAATAAAATATATTATTAAACCTTGTGTCTCCTGTTTCTTTTTAATTCTTTTAATGGGGCTCATACTTGGGAGGACATTTTAATCTTGCAAAAATATTTCGCAGCAGTGTAAACTGCCCGTACGATGCCACTCAGAGGTAAAGAAGAATGGCTGACGGCCCAGGTCTGCACTCGTGCTCACCCAACTCCAGCTCAGCTCGAGACGTGGGAGCTGCTGCCGTGGGCAGGCCACGGAGACTTCCTGCCTCAGTCTCAGCGTCCTCACGTGGAGCGTGGGCATGGGACGCTCACGTCACAAGCAGGGGTATTGGGAATTCTGTCTGTAAAACATTTTGTGCTTGGTACGATCAGTTCTCCGTACATGGTGGTTTTACTCCTCTACATACGGAAGTAAAGACCCCTGCCCAGACGTATTTGACTTTACCCGGAACACCATTCAGGAGGACCGTACCTGTAGGGATTTGAACCCAGAAGACATCTCATCGAGAACAGCATTTCTGACATGTGGTTATTCAAAGGCCCCCCATGTCCCCTGTTTTGTCGCTTCTTTGGTTTTCATTGGAGCTTGAAAAGGAAATCTACCCCATGACACCACGTTCTACAACATGTCCAAGTCACTGTATTACTCGCTGCATTTCTTCTCGCGTCTTCCTTTCAAAACAGCAGCAACCAAATGAATAGCCTGTGTGTGTTTTATAAATTCTTTCTCCCTCCCGTGGATTTCCTGGCAAGCGTCCAACTCCATTATGACACAGAGAATCGGCCTGGGGCAGCGGGAGGCGCGGCGAGCCGCCGTGATGCCTGGGCACTTATTCATCATCCTGTGCCACGCTGCTCCCGCCTGTCGCTCCGCACAACAAACACTCCCAGGCTCCACGGTTCGCCGCCGCTGGGCTGCGCAGCGGGTCTGCACGGCCCTGCTTTCACGAAGCACAGGCAGAGGGGTGATCGCGAAGCCTTCTGCGCCCACCTCTGCCTTCTCGTTGGTGAGGGCTTCCAGACACGCGTGACTGATTTACATTCTGCGTCGGAAAGTTGCCTGCTGCCAGGATGCCTGCTGGGGCACAGAAACGACGGTCTCCGGAATTTCTCGGCACCCAGGCGGGGCGCACTCAGTTACGGACGAGGCCGCTCCTGAGGAGCGTTGCTCTTCTGAGCACTTGCTGAAGCTGGCCGGGGTCTTCAGGAGCCGCCTGATACGGTGCACAGCTCTCCGGTGCTTTCTGTTGCCGGAGACGGTGATGTACTAGATGATACTCGGGGCTCAGGAGTAGCCCTTGCGGGTAGAGAATGATGGGAAAATCTTTCTGCGTTCTTTCCCCGTGGTTTCCCCATTCTTTTTCCTTTATTGCACCTAGGACAGCTTGCCCAGGACAGAAGTCGGCGTAGAAGAGGGACAAGCACACAGGACAGCCCTGGTGGCAAACCCTGGTGGCCAACCATGGCCGATGGGACCACCGCTCCCAGTTCTGTGCTCGCTCCTTGCATCAGAATTAGAAACGGTTGCCCTTTAGCGTGTGACGTTGCTGTCCCTCCTGCTAGGATGCGCAGAGCATGTGGGCTGTGAACAGGACCGGGAGCCTGGCCTTTAGAGGTGTCATCTGTTTTTGCTTGCTCTTCATCTGCCATGAGAAGAACACGCTGCCGGTGACTGCCGGCCCCAGAACCGTGCAGCGGGAGCCCAGCTGACCCCAAAGACCACCCAAGCTGCCCCACAGAGCTGGGAGTGAGGACACAAGACACTGGCAGGTCTCGGCAAACTTTTCCTTCAAAGCGCCAAGTTGTTAATATCGTAGGTTTTGCAGCCAGACAGTGTGTGTTGCAACCCCTCACCTCTGCCTGTGCAGGGCCAAGCTCGTGCTTTTGCCAAGGCACCCAAGGCAGGTGGAGCCAGACAAAGTCAGAGGGAGGTGGGCAGCGAGCCCTGCCCACCTGGCTTGGAGCCACAGTGGGGCTGGCGTGGGAGGCTGGCGGCCCGCGTGCCCCGAGCTGGGCATGAGGCCGTGGTTTAAAACCGCAAGGAGTTCTGGTAACTGAAAGGGACCAGAACTTGGGGGGATCTATCTGAAGAGTCATAGGGGACAGAAAGCAGGTTTTGACAGAAGGCATTGGTTAGAGAAAGATAAAACCGCTTTATGTCTCCACCCCCGAGCCTGCAACTGATCAATAAGCCAGGTCAATGTTTGATCTCCGGCCCACTGTGTCCCCTCCACCCCATCTGCCTCGCTCCCCTGCCAGTGGGCAAATGTTACAAACTCGTTGCCCCTTGCTGTATAGCTCAGTTGACTGGAGTGTCCTCCTAATACGCCAAGACTGTGGGTTCGATTCCCAGTCGGTCAGGGCATGTACAGGAAGCCA